TACTTTGGAAACATATTGGCATATGGCCAGGTGCTACAACTTTGAATGCGAGATAGAATTGCAAGCCACTATATTTCTACTCTTAGAACAACATTCACTCAGTCAATCAACTAATATTTATTGAAAACCTACTATGTGCCAAACATGTTCAAGACATTGAACATTTATCAGTGAACAAAGCAGACAAAGGGAACCTGTGCTCTCCAGGATCTTACATTCTCGTAATGAGTAATGCATTATAAACAATTATTGTGATAACAAGTAAGTTACATGGTATATTAAAAGACTCTAAGTACTATGAGCAAAGTGGGTCTCTATGAAGGGAATCAGATTGAAGGAAAGGAAAAGAGCAGGGAGTGGTTGCAATTTCAAATAGTGTGGTCAAGTAAACTCTCACTGAAAAGATGTGGGAAAGACATGGAGGAAAGAAGAGCATTCCAGGAAGGGAACAGCAAGTGCAAAACCGGGAGCCAAGAGCTTGCTGATGTACTTAAAGAACAGCAAGGGCTCAGCATAATGGAATGGAGTGAGTGAAAGGGAGCATACTGTCGATTAGGTAGGGCAGGGGTCAGCAAGCGACAGTGTGGCCCTTGTAAATGGAGGTATACTGGAACACAGCCATGCCTTTACATATTTTCTTTGACTGCTTCATGCTACAATTGCAGAGTCATGTAGTTGAGACAGAGACAACCTGGCCCAGAAAGACTAAAATATTTACTGTCTGGCTCTTTATAGAAAAGTTTTCTGACCCCTAGTGTATGTAGGGTCTTATAAGCTATTGTAGGAATGTTGGCTTTGGCTCTCAGAAAAATGAGGAGCCCTGGGAGGGATTGAGCAGAAGGGCAAACAGGATCTGACTTATGTTTTGAAAGGATCGTTATGGTGGCTGTGTTGGCAAATTTTAGAGAGGCCAGGGTGGGAGCAGGTAAGCCAGTTAGGACTGTGGTTCACAAGGTACACTGGAGTGCCCCCTGGACACCACAGCAAACTCACCAGGTGTAGCAGGGTATTTTAAATTTTTGAAGGATTTACAGCAGTACTTGACATCTGTTAGGTACTGAGTCAGCTTCTACCTGGTGGGGAGTCCAAGTATCAACATTAGGTCATGCTATATTCCTTTCAGTGTTGTCATATCTTTGTGAAGCTGGGTTTTTGACAGTAGCTCTAATAAAGAGCAAGCACAATTTGGAAATCAGCGTGGTTCAGGAAATGATGCTTGCAGTATCTGATTTAATTCCAAGATTTGAGATGTTGCACAGTGCCCGACAGTCACACATCAGCAAGTAACTGTGGTTGTTTGAAAGTACAATAAGAATATTTTTCTTTTAATTCATGTGTATTATTTTTTGAATGTCTACTTAGTTGTTGCGTCATTGTATTATTGTACAATGTATTGCTTCATTGGAGCATTTTCCTGAGGTTGCTCTAACAAAAGACCACAACTGGGTGGCTTAGAAAATGCAGAAATACATTTTTTTTATAGTTCTGGAGATGGGAAGTTTGAAATCAGTGTCACTGGGACAAATTAAGGTGTCAGCAGGACTACACCCTGTGGAGGCTCTTGGGGGAGATTTTGTTCCTTGCCTCTTCCAGCCTCTGCTGGCTGCGGGAAGTGCTTGGCTGGTGGCTTTGCCTCCATGGTCACATCACCTTTTCCTCTTCTGTCTGCATCAAATCTCCTTGTGCCTCCATTTGATAGGGACACATGGGTTGCATTTATGGCTCAGCTCACCCTGATAATCCGGGCTAACCTTCCCACCTGAAGACCCTTCATTTAATCACTTATGCAGAGACCCTTTTCCGAAAAAAACAGTAATATTTACAGATTTCAGGGGTTAGCACCTGATCTCTTTGGCTGGCCATTATCCAGCCTACTACAGGCATCAATATTTATTAAATTGTTGGCACCAAACTACTTAATAAATGGGACTATTGTTTTTTATTTTATTTTATTTTTGCCTAGAGGTAAGATACCAAGTGTTGTGTAAATCTACAAAGTTTGGGAAACTCTGAGCTAGGAGGCCATCCCAGTAATCCAGGCAGGAAATGATGGAGACTTGGTCTGGATTGGAAATGGAGGAAAGCGGTCAAAAGTGGACAAATTTTTGATACAATTTGAAGGTAAGGCAGATGGAATTTGCTGATGTTCTGGATGTGTGGTTGGGGGAGAGAGGAGTCCAAGGATTTCAAAGGTTCCTGGACTGAGTAACTAGAAAAATTGTATTACCATGANAATTTCAAAGGTTCCTGGACTGAGCAACTGGAAAAATGGTATTACCATGAATGGAGATGAAGGAAACTGTGTATGGACCAGTTTTTTGTAGTGTGTGTGTGTGTGTGTGTGTGTGTGTGTGTCTGGGGAGGAGGCAGATGGGAGATGCTGTTTTGTGCATGTTTAGAAAAGAAGACAAAGAGAGAGGAATGAAGAAAGGAAAAGGTACACACATTCCTGACCAGCGGCTGTGTACAGACTCTCCACCTGCCCCAGGCTTGGTCCACCTCTCGCGGTGGCCAAATGGCCCTCCACCCACAAGCCGTTTAGGTTGCTGTGTTTTGCCTCATTATTAAAAAATGGTCTGAGCCAATAGAGACGTGAGGTGCCATATTAGACAGGAGACCCATGAAGTCTTGTCTGGCCCCTCCTTCCCACACAGAGGGAACACTATGAGGGTGGGGCAAATGGGGCTCTGCGGCTCTGCTTTGGGGAACTGATAATTCAGGGCCCCTAAATTTAAAAAATAATTATCGAAGGATGGAGCAGAATTTAAAAAAGATAGAGGCAGAGACATAGTTTTAAAATTTCCCCAAACCCTCTCATGGAAATAAACCAATCCAAACCAAACGCCCATGGGTAGCATTTACCTTGAAACTAGAAACCCCGAAGTAAGCGGGTGGAGCAGACAACCACCACCCGGCGTAGGCCTGCCTGTCCTTAGCATCTGCACCAGAGGAAGTGTCAGTCAGGAGGAAGCATCTGATGGACATGAGGGCAGTAGCCCTTCAAAATACCAGCAGTAGTCACCGGAGAGCACTGTTGCCAAGTTGAGATAGCAGCTGAGACTGGAAGGGGTTTTTCCCAACCACAACCTGAGTCAGTACAAGGGGCCATGGAGAGAGTGTAAAGGACTGGAGCAGTCTAGGGCCTCTATACCTTGACACTGAGCACTAGAGCTCCTTTCCACACAGAGGGGATACTGCTGGGGGGAACTACAGACTACAAAGTGAAAATGTCCTGATAAAGTCGGGGAGAGGGAGAGAGCCAGGAAACCTCAGAAGGCAAGCCCCATGCTCCTGAATACCACTAAAGTTCTATGAAGTTAGAAAAGGGGCCCTTAACTTCAACTCCTTTTCTACATGCATTAAAACTGATTTTACCTAAAAATACATAACTGGATTGAGATCAAATCCCTTACAAAGGAGCAGAATAGATTTTCTCCACCCATGATACAGGTGGGAAAAGACAGGCCCACAAAACAGATCAAAATTGCTATTTCAAAATGAGCTAAAAGACCTGAGGAAAAACATTGCAAGAGATGAAAGGACATGGGGGAGGAGGGAATGGGAAGTTGTTATTTAAAGGGGATGGCATTTCTGTTTGGAATGATGAAAAGTTCTGTAAATTCTGGTAAAATCTACTCATGGGTGTTTGATTTCAGTTGACCTATTTCCATGACAGGGTTTGGGGAGATTCAAAAACTGTCCTACTCCCTCCATCTTTCTGAAGTCCTGCTCAGTCTTTTGACATTATTATTATTATTATTAATCCTCACCCGAGGATATTTTTTCCAGTGCTTTTCAGAGAGAGGGAGAAAGAGAGAGAGGGAGGGAGAGAGAGGGAGAGAAACATTGATGTGAGAGGGACACATTGATTGGCTGCCTCCCTCATGTGTCCGACTGGGCCCTGGAGCTAGGGATCGAGCCTGCAACTGAGGTGTGTGCCCTTGGCTGGAATCGAACCTGGGACACTTCAGTCCACAAGCCAACACTCTAACCACTGAGCAAAACAGCCTAGGGCTGACATAATTATTTTTAATTTGATGGTAGTGATGGTTTCATAATGTCGTGAATGTACTAAATGTGACTGAACTATACAATTTAAAACTGTTAAAATGGTAAATTCTGTATTATCATCTTACCATAATAAAGATAAAAGAACAACATAAATAAGAATTATTTGAGATGATCAAACTCGGGACAGAATTAATAATAATAGAAAAAAAATGTCAGAACTCTTGAAGACTAAATTAACATAATACAAGAGTGCATTAGTGGGCCTGATGCACAGATATTGAGAAAGTGGTGATTTACCCAGTATGGTGGGCCTCCTACTGCAGCAGTTCACTTGACTAGACCTCTGTTATCAGCTGCCCTAAGGATAACTCTAAACCCTTGCTATTTATCTGGTAGATTCCCCTGATTTGTACTCACCTTCCTTAACGACAATCCTACCTGGTGAAGGCAACCCAAACCTTTTGGAAATGTGTCCAGAATATGTTTTCTAAAATAGTTACCTGGTGGTCATGAGACATAAGGCCAGCCTCCACGAGAGACATTTTCCATTTCTCCTGGCCAACCTAAACTCATCTTCTGCCATCTTCCTCTATTCAAATTTTACCCTTTTAACCTTAACCTCAGACCCTTACTTCTGCCATTTCCCCCCCTCCTGTTTCTTTTAATAAACCCATAACATCTCTCCCCTTTGGGCCTTTCTAGCCATAGACAAAATTCGTTCCTTTTTCCTCAGTCTTACACCTTGTCCCTCATTCACCCAACTTCCAATTCTTTTGCTCTCATGAGGCTTTTGATCCCCACCCCACCAAAGAAAAACTACAGTTAACAGCATCTCAAACCTCAAAAGGCTTCTTTATTATTCATCTACTAATTCTATTGCATTTATTTATTCATTTTTAAGCTTTAAAACATATCAGAATAGAGAAATTTACATCTATCTATGGGAAAATAGCTGGTATCTAGAGTGCCACCAATATTACTAGCATCTCTTATTTTGCATAGCCGTAGTATAGAGAAATCTCCATTTCTTTTTCCCTCTCGATGAAATACTGCACTTTCCCCAAAGAGGTGTATTTGGCAGCATTCTCCCGTTCTAGTTGAGCCTTCCTCTTCATGGCCTCTCGCTCTGGCCTCTGCTCATTTGTAATGGGCATTGACATGACTGGCCCAAGAACATCGGGTTTCCTCCATGGAAGGGGTTGGCGGGCAAAATCCTGGAGTAGATATTGGTTTGGAGGCTTGGGTGGGGTCCAGGGCTTAGTCACACCAGGGCGAACAGGCTCCCGCTGGAAAGAAGCGCAAGTTGACGTTTTGTAGGGCGCAGGCCGAGAAGCAGCAGACTGAGGGACACTAGGCCAGTTAGGGTTGGTCCAACCTGGTCTGGCTGGGTTGGTTGAAATTTGCTGAGCTGGTCTGGCAGGACCTGTCAAAGATGCAGGAGTTGGCTGGGATGAATTGGCTGCAGTAGGTTGAGCAGAATTAGAACCAGGCAGGGCAATGTTGGTCAAACCTGGTTGTGCTGGGTTCGTCAAAATGGGCTGAGCTGGTCTTGCAGGACCTGTTAAAGATGCAGGAGTTGGCTGAGATGAATTAACTGCAGTGGGTTGAGCAGAATTAGAACCAGGCTGGGCAAGGTTGGTCAAACCTGGTTGGACTGGGTTGGTTGAAATTGGCCGAGCTGGTCTGGCAGGACCTGTCAAAGATGCAAGAGTTGGCTTAGATGAATTGACTGCAGTAGGTTGAGCTGAGTTAGAACCAGGCTGGCCAGGGTTGGTTGAAATTGGCAGAGATGGTCTGGCAGGATCTGTCATAGATGCAGGAGTTGCCTGGTACGAATTGACTGCAGTAGGTTGAGCTGAATTAGAACCAGGCTGGGCAGAGTTAGCCACAGCAGGCCGACGTGCCAGAGGCTGTGCCCTGCGAGGAACAGGTCGAGCTTGAGGCTTGTCCAAGGTTGGGAAAACCAAAGGTACCAACTTGACCTTCCCAGGAGGTGGCAGCTCATACTCAGATGGAGATGAACACTCTTTTTCAGCACTGCTCTCCACTTTCTGGCGTTTGACTTGAGTTTTCTCAGGACCTTTGCCCTCATGAGGGGTATCCAGCCATCGTTTCATAGCTAAGGATGGTTGGGAGCCTTTGGGGTTGCTTGAGTTCCCCAAGGTCCGAGAGGAAGAGAGTTCAGTTTTCTTATCATTCTTCTTCCCCAGTGCATGAAAAACCTGCACAGACTCCAGCATGTGCATACCTAGGGAGCTCCGAGGCTTTTTGAAGGTCTCTTGGGTCAGCTCAGGTTGATTTTTCTTCCTCTTCATCTTGGGAATGGTTGGCTTCTCCTCTGCTTTGGCTTTGTTCCCTGACTGCTTACTCTCTCCAGCTTTCTTGGAGTTGTTTTCTTTGGTTCTTCTGGTCTTTTCCTGCCCATGGCTCTTAGTTTTGCTGATCTTGCTGGAGGCAGCTTTCTGAGGTTTGCTGTTAGAAAGCTTGGCCGTGTTCTCAGGAGCCCTGTCACTGGCTGCAGCATTGCAAACAGCCACTTCTCCCAGGAACATGCAGTCTGGGCTCTCAGGCTTGATTTTGGCCTTAGGAGCACCACTGATTGGCTCAGAGGCTTTATGTTTGTTCTTCCCAGTTTGATCAGAGGGAGCCTTTATGCCACTTGACTTTTTCTGCACCTCGTTCAACTGGATGGGTCTGGTGTCTTTGGTTTTGATCACCTTGGGACCTTTGGATTGATCGAGGTCATCCAAGGAATTTAAGACCTGTGGGAGTTGAATATCCTCCACCAGTGTAGCGATGTCTGCAAAACCATCATTAGATTCAGTCCCATTCTCAAGTGTGCCTTGGCCCTTAAGACTCAGGCTCTTCTTTCCCAGACCAGCATTTTCACAACCAGGCTGCTCCTCTTGGCCAAGGGGATCAATGCAGGCCAGGAGCTGGTGAATATCAGGGATTTCTAAAGGGAGTAGTGGAGGATCTTGGTTTTCTGTTGGGATCTGGTAGGCATCCAGAGGCTTTGAAAGCATAGTTTTAATATCATCCNCTGAAAGCACAGTTTTAATATCATCCAAATTCTTATTTTCTTTCATTTCCTGACTTGGAGCTGGAGGCAGTGCCAGGAAAATACTAGGACTCTGGACTGGAGCTGCCGTTGCAATGTCCCCAAACTCAGGTGGTGGGATACTCTCAAGGATCTGAATATTGCTGCTGCTGCAGGACTTGGGGAATTCTGGAGTCTGTGGGAGACAGAATGTTTGGCTTGAAGGTTGCAATCCCAGGGAAGTCTCCATCCCCAGGGAGGTCTCCATCACTACAAAGGAATCAAGGGGAAGTCAGTCAGTCCCTGGTTAGTAAGGTGCTCCTCTGTCGCTAGCAATGCAGCGATCATGCACCTTCCAGCAATGGGAAAGGCATTCCTACTAGCTCATCTGAAGGATCATGGGCAGTGCCCTGTGCTAGGAGATAGGAGGCAACTGTTCTAGTTCTCACTGGTGATCATCTGATGTCATTTTCATGGTATTCTTTGTATTTCACAAGGTTGTGGTAAGTCAAATAAAAAGTAAAAGTGATTTTTTAAATGCTTCACAAGTCTAGCATTGTTCTTACTGAATCCTTCTAATTCTCCCCACTTTCCTGAGGGAAGAAGAACACTTCACACACACCAGGGACTAGGAGAAGGAATGGAGCTCTTCCTGCTGGAATCAATAAGCAAGGACAGATTCTTAGCCTGCTTGCTTTGGCCAAGATCTTGGAACACAAGGTCTTAAACCCTGGTGTAAACTAAGGATGTGAGGGAAAGTTAAACTGGCACTGTCACAATAAGAGTTTGAAATTCCTTCCAAGGAGAATAAGGCAGTAAATCAGGGAAGGGAGTTCATTACAGTGTGGTAGGACAGAGGGACTAGTCAGGTAGGGCACTGAAAAGTGTGGGAACCCTCAGCATGCTCTTGGGGTTCTCACATATGCAGCATACATGGCTGTTATAGTGTCTGCCTTTCCACCTCTATTAAGTTCTCACAAAGTCTGAAAATGGAGAGCACTGACTGTGGGCAGTAGTTGTTATAGGGTCACAGGACTTAAATCCTATGTGTGTGTGGACTTGGCACTTCCAGGTGTAGGTTGACCCCATATTTGAATGCTGACCCTATTTCTCTTCCCTCTTGCTGTTGGTACTCACCTTGAAAACTGGTGTCTGTGATGGGCTGAGCAGGCACAGAGTAGTAAATTGCAGAGGTCGAGGCTGGTGGCATCACATTTGTGGGCTGGACCTCCTTTAGCACCATGACCATTTCTGGTTGAGGGGCAGAGGCCCTGCTCTCTGTGTAAGACATAGAGCCATAGGATTGCAGGTAGGGACCCCGCTCTCCAGAGAGCAGAGGCCTCAGTGTGCCTTGATTATAGTAATACACCTGACTTCCTTCCTGGTAGGGAAGTGACAGGCTATGTCCCTGATTTGGAATCTGAGATGGTGCCCCCTGAACAAGGCTGGCAGAAAGGGATGGATACAGAGGGACCATGTTACCAGCATCTGTGGTTTTACTGTACTGGGATGCCATAGACATGGAAGAAACAGCTGTGTCCTGGTCAATGACAGTCACAGCGAAGTCTCTGAGTGACGACGACTTCTTTTCAGTGCCTCCTGTGAGAGCCCACTCCAAAAGACCAGGATTGGAAGCAGCCGAAGTGGAAATCTGGCTCTGGCCAGTCACTCCAGACAACATAGTTGTGCTAGAATGTTGGTAAAGGTAGGCACTGCCCATTAGTGGTTGGAAAGAGGTGCCAGAAGCTGGTGGTAGTAGCCATGCTGAACTGACGGCTGGAGCAGAGACTCTGGAGAAATTGCAGATGCTTCCTGCTAGGGAGGCTGCATTGCTCACTGCAGGCAGAGAGAGCTGCAGAGACTTTGAAGCTCCAAGTAAAGGTGGATTTTGGAAATTCTCTGTAGGGGACAAAGAGGGTGATGAAGAACTCAGAGGTTGAAAACCACTCACTATGTTTATAGAATTGCATTAACTTAAGATTGGTACTATCAGAAAGTCTCTAATACCAATACTCACTGAAGTATCAGAAATCAGTGTATGCTGGTTGTAAGTGCTGGAACAGTTTTTTACTTTTGTGTATGAACTGCCCGGGCTCCCAACTTGGGCAAAACTGTGCAGAAGACTCAAGTGGTGTGGTGCATACATTGCTCTCTAGGCTAGAAGCTATCGCTCCCTGCCTTATGTTTCCCTTGAGCCTGCACTAGTATTGATTTCTATGCTCTTCCTTAGAATTGAAGCATTTTAGAACCAGGATTCTTTAGGGAAACCTCTGTTCTAACATTCTTACTTTATGAGTGAGGAAACAGACTCAGAGAGGTCAGATAGACCTGTTCAAGTTCTCCCATTCTGTCAGTATTATTTCCAGGTTACAAAACCTAAGCATCCTGACTTTCTTGCCAGGGTTCTGCTCTGAGCATTATTCTGCCCCAAACTGGGAGCAGTAGAGCTTCTAATATAGGGGTTCTATTGTCCATGAGAAAACAGTACAGCTCTTGCCTTTGTAATCTTCAAGACCCCATGTTGCCTGCACAGTTCACATGCTGTTCCCTCGAACTCGCACATGGTTCAGTGCAGTTGCTAAGTTTAAAGGGTCATTCTTACTCTTGAAGCCTGTTTTCTGATCCTACCTCTAAATGACTATCTGAGAGAGAGTTTCTCAAGAAGTGCTTTTTGAAAGAAAAACATTATTTAAACTCTTTGAGCTTTGGGTTACTCATCTATAAAGTTGTTTATAATAATAACAATAATAATTCATACATGAATAAATGATATATTACATATACTTTATATGGAAGAAGATGAAAGTTCTGGAAAGATGAAGAGAAAAATCATGAACAACGTATCTCAGAACTGCAAGGAAATACATAGACATTAATGAAAATTGAGGCATGTAGCAAGGATCAAAACATAATAAACTGGCCAATGAATGAAGTTCTGTTTCACACATGCAGTGTTATAAGAGTGAATTTTGCCTATTCTATTTTTGTGAATACTATAACCAAAAACAACCCACAATACATGGTGATTTTGAATGAATTCCTAGCAATACATATGAACAGAGAAGCTATATCAGTAAAAACTGCATAAAAAGCCATAAACGTGGATGTATAGGGAGCCCCAATATATATAGACAAATATTTCAGTAAAAATATAAAGCAGAGAGCAAAATACATGCAAAGAAATTCCATTATTCTGCTCATTCATGTTCTTTTGAATATTACCCAGCAAGTAACATATTAAGTCTAGTAGAAATACAGATTTCAGTTAATATAACCACATAACAAACAGTGAAGAACACTAAAAAAGTATCCTGAAAGTTTATATATTTATCTTAAAGCCTAAGTTACATTCTTCAACATCCAGGGAAATGTTGTACCCAAAGCCTTAAAAAGCATCATTGCTGGAATCCAATTAAAAAATGTTTACTGTAGAGACCTCACAAAATTGTTTTTAAGTCAATTTGAAGTTAGAGATCTGGGGCTTCACTTTTCCTTTTTCTCCTTTGGTAGTGAAGCTCTAAAAGGAGATGATGGCTGCTTCTCAGTGCTCTCTGTGTTCAGGAGAAAATAACTAAAGATGACAAGCAGCTTTGACCTGGAACATACTTGTCACCCAAAGGAATTAGTCTTTCTGATTCAAGTTAGGATATGCCACTTTTTAAATTTTTATTTTTAATAGAGAAAGCATCTACATAGTTCAAAAGTCCAAATCAAGTGAAACACTGAATATTCTGTTTTCCTCCTGTCCCCTAGATAACCACCTTTATTAGTTTCTTGTTTATAGAAAACATTTCTAAAATACATTTTTAAATGTTTATACTTAAAAGTGTCAAGTGCCGCCCATGTTCAGAGAGGCAATAGAAAAACAGACAACTGAATATGACTTTTTTGATATGCTGCTTTGCCTAGTGATACCCTGTTCTGGCCTTACTTTCCTTTCTAGGCTATTAATGTAAGAATTTGCTAAAACCAATGTTATTATGCCCTACTCTGAGCAGATTTCACCCTGCGCTTTCTGCTTTAATTTAAAATCTTCATTCCATTGCAAACTACCTTTTTTGCTCTTGAGAGCTCTTCCATGCTCTCCTCTTCATTCTTAGAGTTTCCCCTCCTTCATGCTTAGGTTTCTCCCTCCCTCTTGGTTCCTGTTGGCCTGTGCTGATGAAAACAATCCTAAACTTTCTTACATTGAAATACTTGTCCCCCTATAGTCCAGTACTCTCCTTCCTCTCTCCCTATTTTCTCAGTTCACCTAGTGTGGATAGAAAACTCCAAAAACACGTGAATATTACTTTTTGAACAGCACTAAACTTAAAATCCTAATGTTGAAACATTAGTGGCAGGAGACTGTGTATATGTATAGCTAGTTTTCTACGTCACCTAGGTTTTCTCTGTTTCTGTTGAAACACTCTCCAGAAGTCTTGATTTCATTTTCTATATGGGTGTCCTTTAAGACTCAATATTAGAAAAGAAAGGGATTAGAGAGAACAACCAATCTGACATCCTAATGTAACAGGAAGAAACAGGTTTTGTGAGAGAGTCAGTGACTTGTCCAAAGTCACATAGGTAGTAAATGTCAAAATCAAAACTGAAATGAGGCATCCAGATTTCTAGATCAATGCTTTTCCCCGCTGTTCTATGCTGTTTTGACTCTACTGATAAATTTAGGGGCAAACAATATGTAATGAAAACCCTTAAAGGTCCCTTTCCTTACCTGACATGGTCAGAGAAGACGAATTATCAACTGTAGATGCAAGTGATGAGGGTGTCTGAGTGGCTGGAGCCAGAAAGCACATGTGTCCAGTAGGGAAGGATACTGGTCACACTGGTCACTGGTCACTGGTCAGTTGTGATGATCCAAATTTATTTACAGACAGCTCCATGGAAACCCCAGATTCTAACTGGTGGTGGCAGGTTTGGTGGGAAATTGATGTCACAAAGCAGGCAGTTTAAAAGGATGAGAGAGCCAATAGGGAGGTCAGGTTCCCAAGAAGAAGGCAGGATAGGATGGAGGGAGCAGTTGGGGAGCTAAACCATCACCTAAATGGTTGAGTTCTGGAGACAGATGTGCTAATTGACAACACAGATATGATAGTCTCACTTTCCCCAGGCCCTTGTGTTAGGGAAATAATCTCAGTGTTTATTATGGTCATTAGTTAATATAATTAGCTAGTGGTTACTTATATTCTCTAGGTTATATCGTAGAACATGTATATTTATCATTATATGTACTGTTAATATCCTAAGAGAGAAGGGAAAGGGACATCTAGGTTGCACAATTACAGTTGTGAATCATATCCGCCCACCTGATTAGGGAATTTACTGCAGCCTCTGGGGAGCAAGGGAAGGGATTACAAAGCTCTTTTGGGGATTTGGCTAGAGGGTAAGGTGAAGCCTGGTGAGTGCCCAATGTGGAGAATGAGGCGGCCCAAGGCTCTTCTCTTTTAGCTCTCCTTGGACCCTGCCTGCCTTGGGCTGGGCTGGCCTGGGCCAGGCTGGACTTGAGCTCTCTTCTCTGGTTTTTTTCTTCTTCGTTGCAGGCATGGTCTCTAGACAAGCTTTGCTCTTGCATTCTTACACTCATGGGTGTTACTTGCTGTCCACTTCCAGCAGCAGGGGTCTTCTTTTCAGTGTCTGGTGTTTCCCAAAACAGACTCTTCCCATTAGAAGCAAATACCAAGGAGCTGGGAGCCAGCTGACTGCAAACCTTTCCTGTTCCAGTGTTTGGTTGCAGTTGTTCTGCCCATAACTTGCTACCTCTGGTTCCAGGGCCACATAGGCATGCTGCCATCCTGCTCTTTTATATATGAGGGGCAGTCACCATATTATCCTTTTTCCTTTTCACATAACATGTATCCAGTGTGGCAGTTATTGCAGTCTCCTCCCCCGTTGCAAACAGCCACTGTAGAATTTTTGGCCTCAGAGTTCTCTGCCTGCCTTACTTGGGTGAAATGCCAGGCAAAAATGAAAAGGCGAATAGTTAGAGAAAGACAGGACATTCATGGAGAGCCAGGAATAGATAAGAATTAATAAATAATACAAGAATACAAGGATAATCTCTGTTTCATGTACTCACAACTGTAAACCTACATTTGCCCCACTGGTATATGGATTAAGCTGGTTTTGGGGAGGAAATCTGTGCATCTAATCATTTTTCTTGATGGTAAGCTTTTAGGGGTGCCCAGATCAGTCTTCCTGGAGCCTTTTTAGTGCCAGTGAGTAGGAAGTGTATGACACAAGACGCCAAGAGCCCATAAGAGGGCAGCTCATAGATGGAATCTCCAAAGAGACATATTTCATTTATAGGCCCACTTTTCCTTTTATGAGATATGAGTTTTTCCAAAGATGGGGGATGATGCTTATCTGAGAAGAAACACAGTGAGTGGTGTTGCAGTTAGAGATATGGCTTAAACTTTTAAATTTTTTTCAAGGTTCCCCCCTAAGCTTCATATCTCAGATCACCAACTTCCATGATACTAGTATGTAACCTGAGGCTAACAGTATATGTTAAATATCTGCAAGCCAGACCAGTCTCTTTTCTTTCTGTGTTCCCATGGAAATCAAAAGAATCCATAGCTACTGCAGGATAAGATGGGTGGTGCAAGACTGGGGAAAGTGTGGTAAGATGAATTCTGGTAGTAGTAAAATGATTACATGTTGAAATACTCAGTTCCAACGTTCAATTCTATCTAGACAAACCTTTTATTAGGCCCTTCCTGGCTCTCAGCCTCTATAACTATTTTCTCTCCATAGTTCCAGCCATTTAACTGTAGCTTTTGGGTTCAGCATCATCTTAACCGCTAAAAGAATATCAAATGCAGGGGGAGGAACATAAAGAAGTTTAGTCTGACAGTCTGAAACTTATCATCAAGCTCTATCCTGACCTAAAGTCCTCTTTTTGCAGTCAGGGTATTGTCTTGTCCCATAGATCCACTTCCTGCATTTTGTACCCATTGGGATAAGTAGGACTTTTATTGATGAAACATACCCAGTCCATGTATCCCTGGATGCTTTGTTACTGTCACTTTAATTTAAAGGCTGGAATCCCTCAAACCCCTGCCTGGTACTTGGGACTTTCCCAAATACTGCTAGATATTACGTTGTCAACTACTTAGCTGTCTGGGTGCTCCAAATATCCTTTGCTCCTATGTTCTCCATTCCAGTGTACTGCATACCTATTGATGCATTATTTCACCTCATGTGGGATTCACTCCCATCCAAAGGCTTTATTCTTTGCTAGTTCCCATACTTTCTGGAAACCCTATTGAGCCTAGGTCTGGATTTTCTTGTATCAGCTATTAACTGAGTTTGTTCCCACCTCAAGCTTGTGTCTTTTAGTGAATTGGAATTACAAGACCAATGTTGTTTTTCTAGTTTCTGATAGATATATGTCACATTTTGTATATTGTCAATCTATGGATATTTGTACCAGTAATACTTTTTGGCCACTACATTCTTATTGTATATATTTTTAATAAATTGCAAATGAATATGTTATGCTTTGGTACCAAATTTGAACGTGGCTAATTGTACATTTGCAAACTGTGCTGTGCTAATTTACATATCTTTTTCAAATAGCAATTTACTAATATTAACCTATTTTTAATTATGTGGAAATTTTCAGAATTGTAAATGCTGGTGGATATAAACTTGGTTAGAATATGATTTTCCCAAAAATGTTAAAACTAGTGATCTTTTTACCCATTCATTCATTCATTCATTCATTCATTCATTCATTCAATAACTCACCCTTCTGATTCTCAGTTTACCGAGACCTCCAATGGTTGTGAACATTAGTAACAGTCTATATAAGGTATTTTCAGAAACTAAAAACTAAAAAAGCAAAATACGTTTGCTCTTTTAATTATCTACAATTTAACCTGGAATTTGGTATTTTAATCTGCCTTCAGACCTACTCTAGGACATGCAGTCCTTTGCTGTTTTACTCGTAGCTGAATTGAAGAGTTTTCTAACCGATCAGATCTCTATGCCTGATAGTGTGTGGAAATCTTAGATTTGAGCTCCACTCTCGTCTCTCTCAGTTATTTTTTTGGCACTAAAAAAAATGTAAATACATACTTCCAGGCCCCTTATAGGAACCCAATAAAAATTTCACCGTGAGAGTATAGGTTAACACAATATTTTTCGAGAGTAATTAAAAAGTGTCCTTCAAAATTTTAAGTTTGCATATCCTTCATACCAGAAATTCTACTTATAGGAATTTGATATGGTTGTATACATGTTTATGATGTTCACATTGCAGCCTACCTGTAATAGAGAAGAAAAAGCTGCAACCAACCGGAAGTCCATCAGTATTGGTCTGGTTATATAAATAATGGTGCATGCTATCAGAGAAATACTATGCAGCCATTAAAAACAATAGAACTGATGTACACATAAAATTAGTGGGAAAATTATAAAATTTTGTAGCTATATTGTAGAATATATATAGTATGCTTTTTTTCTATAAAATAAAGGACATCCATATATGTACAAAAATTTTTTATATACACTGTACAATAAGTGTGAATGGAAGCACTTGGAAAATATCTGGGCGGGCCTCACTAGGCACCGGGGGAGTGGGACTTAACCCTTCATTCCTCGTGCTGTGGTGAACTCTGCAGGGCATGTGCGTGAACTCATGGCCCTGTGCTACCGGCCGCCAGCTGAGGGGGGCGCCACAGCACTAGAGTCCTGTTCCCTGATCGCGCTTTTCAGTCAGCCCGCCGGTGACGTCATCACGACGGGCGGCGGCGCGTGCGCATTAGCAAGGAGCCGGGTGGGAGGTGGAGCTGCGTAGGCTGCTGTGTAGGATCCTCGGGTGGAGGAGCTTGTTTTGGCTCCCACGGAGTTGGAATGGCTGCTTTGGCGCTCTTAGCGTTGGGTGGGCGGTGTTTCGGGGCGCACATGAGCCAATGGCACTGTGCCCGCGGCGGCTGGGGCCGGGGACGCATCTTTTCTGGGCGTTCGTCGGCCGGGAGGAAGGGCGGGAGCCCCATCCCGGTAAAGGTAACCTGCCTTGGCCCCTGGGCGTGGCCCTTGCTAGTCTTAGCTCCAAGGCCTGGGCTTGCTCTCTCCTAGTCTCTGCGGGTCCGCGGAGCCGCGCCCTGGGCCCCTCCGCCCCTTGCTGTCAGGCACCGACCCTCTCGGTGCTCCGCCCACAGGAGCAGAGGGGGACTGTCCGTGCTCTTATGCTTTCTCCCATCCTTTTATTTTTATTTATTTATTTTAATATATCTTTATTGATTTCAGAGAGGAAAGGAGAGGGGGAGAGAGAGAAACATCAATGATGAGAGAGTTGTCATTGACCGGCTGCCTCCTGCACGCCCCCTACTGGGGATGAGCCCGCAACCCGCGCATGTGCCCTGACCGGGAATCGAACCACCTTCGCCTGGATCCTAGGTCTACGCTCAACCGCTGAGCCACGCCCAGCTAGGCTATTTTTATTTTTTAAGTATTTGTTTATCTTATTGATTTTTAGACATTAGAAAGGGGGATAGAGAAAGAGGGAGAGAGAACCATTTATTGGTTGCCAACGCACGAACCCTTACCGGAGATCGAACCTTAGACCCAGGCCTGCGCCTGGGCCCAACTTGAACCTGCCACCCCCCTGCTGCTGCAGGACACCACGCTCTCCAACCAACTGAGCCACACCGGTCAGGGCTTCTCCCATCCTTTTAAAAGGGAGGCTCTGACCATGGCTCCTGGAGTAAAATGCAGAGGGCCTGCTTTTTAACATGGGACTTCAGTTTTGGGGACCTATTAATTACCAAAATAGTCTCCCTTCCTGAATTAGTGTTATTTTGGCACAGGAGTAAAAAAACCTACCAGTACCTTTGAACTTTTAACCAAAAAAGTTGCTTTGACTTGTTTCCAGGAATGACAAAGGACATACTGTTGCTTCCTAACAGACCTCATTTGAGAGATCTTTTTCTGTAAGTCCAAATGATTAATGTTGAGACTTTGCTTATATGTGCAGTGAACACTTTTATTCCTCCAGACCTTCCTTTCCTCCACCTGCTACCTCATTAAGTCCCCTTCATTTTATCTCCCAAAAATATTTTGAATCAATTTCTCTCTGTCAGCAGCCTAATACAGAACTTGCCTGATCGATTGCAGTTAGGTCCTCACTAGTGTACGTATATCCATCCACTCTTGTTTCCTTTCAATCCATTCTTCACATAAGAAATCCTTTTAGTAGGCAAATTAGAACATTGCTCATAAACATCACTCAGAAACATTGTTTCAAGAGTAAAAAACTCTTTACCATGACCTTTAAGACGCTACCCTGTCTAGCATCTGGTCTGCTTCTCCAGCCCCAACTTATGCCACTTTTCCCCTCACTTTCTATGCTTCAGATACACTGAATCTACCTTAGTTAATTCTAACTCATCTGACAGAAGTCAGCCAAATACTACTTTTCACTGTGACGCCTAGCATTATTCAGTGAAGTTCACAGTCCCTTTTCTATCAGGTTTTCTTTTTACAATATGAACTCTAAGTTCCCAACTGATCGAATTTGATGGCATCAGTTGTATGGGGACTATAAATAATTGTGAAGTGAAAGAATTGAGTTTAAACTGTGTCAGTTGACAAGTATGTATATGCCACCATAGTATTTAGGGTGGGGCTAGGTTTCATCAGGGATACAGAAGTTCTGGCCATCTCTGGTGTTAGATATGCCTCATTTGTTGAGACCTTTGCATTGTTTTGTTGCCTTGTATCTGTTTTCAAGATGGGGAAACAGGAAGAAGGGAAGGACAGGGAACTAGGCAGGGTTGAATAAGTGGAGCAGCAAAATGCTAAGCAAAGAGTAAAGGGGATGGAGGAATCTTTAGTCTGTGCAAGGGAAAAGGCTCCGAAAATTTGGCTAACAAAAAATGTATTAACAGGCGAAAAATCTCCCAGTTGGACAGAGGATGCCTGGGACTCATTTCATTGCTTGCAATGATCATTTGAGAAAGGTAAGCAAAAATTAATTCAATATTCTTTCAGAAATCTGAATTCAACGTGTAGAATACTGATTCTCAATCCTGTCACACTCCATTTTCTTTTTTTTATAGCACATACTTTGTATTTCACCCTTTGCTATCCTGAAATCAAATTCATAGATAAAGCAACCTACCTCCATACTTGATTTTAAAGGAAAAAATGAGGGTAATGCTCTATATTACAAATTATTATTTATATTATAAATAAAATATTTGTAATAATATAATATAAATATTATTTACATTATATATTATTTCTATTACAAATAAAATATTATTTATATTACAAATAAAATTTGTAATAAAGTAATGTATATTTGTATTTCAATATTTAAATATTTAGGCATGACTATACTAGAAATGAAGAAATAGTCATTTACTTGCACCTTGCATACAAAAAACTGCAAATGCTGATTCACTTAGGTGGGTCATATTGCCTCAGTGGTAGGAGTTTCCATGACAGTAAACAGCTCTTAGCAGATTTTCAAATAAAACCCAGTTCATTCTTTATTTGGTTAATAAGGTGATTACTGTCCTGGAAAATTCACTGTACATTAAAACTGCAAAAAACCCTGTGTGTGTGTTTGTGAAGTGGAGTTAGTTTCTAAGGCTTAGGTAATTGTGAAAAGTTTCTTCACCTATATGACTGTTGAGTAGGACGTTCAAGAGCTATTCAGGTATGAGACCCACTTGTAGGACTGTTCTCTGAATTGGACAAGATGTCTAGCATCCGTGACTCGACCCACTAAATGCCAGTAGAGACCTTTGTTCCCATCATCACAACCAAAAAATGCCCTGGGTCAGCAAGTTTAGGATTTCAGCATGGAAATTCTGAAAATTGTTTTTGTTTGACCTAAGAAAGGAATAGGTGGGGAAAGCATTTGACCTATATAAAAAAGTTGAGAAGAAATTCCATGTCCCATTAACTGCTTAGCATAGCACGGATTAGTATCAGTAAAAGCTCACTTTGAATGCATTGGGAATTTATTTAATTTGTGACTGATAGGTAGGGGTTTCTTTTTTGACTACTATGTCATTTCTCTGCATCTCTGGACTTAAATATTAGTTATTTCATAAAGATAAACATAGGGTTCTTATTCACATCCACCAACACGAAGGATAGTGTTAGACATGATAAATACTTAACAAATCTTTGTTGAGTGAACGGAGTCCCCACCCATATTTGCAGTTACCATGGATTTTCTCCTATATTCCTCATCCTCTCTGCAGTTTTTCTAACTCCTCAAGTCCCTACTCTGTGGCCTCTACAAGTGGATTCCTTGCCTAAAAGTACATCAGCAGGAGAGAAAACGAGAAGACTCGTTAGTTTCCTTTCCTCCACTTGCCTCTCAAGTTTTCTAAGTTGTCTCTTTTGCTGCTATACCTCTGGAACACACAGATGGATCACGTGGGAGGTGTTAATTATTTTTAGTTGCAGAGGAAGCCAAACACCTTTGTTTGCTTAATAAACTATTTCAGCATCATGACACGAAAAGCCTTGGTAGATATTTGATGAATTCTTGGGCAACTTGGCTTCATTTTGAAAGCCTCTTTCTTTGAAAATTTGTATCAGAATGTCTTATACTGCGTGTGGTAGTTATTTTATCTGTTCACTTTTATATGTGAACAACATGTTGAACCTGACCTTAATGAAATGCTCTAACTCAGCTACTCCCTGTGTCTAATTAGCTCAGCCAAGTTGCTACCTTTCATCTAAGTGATGGCTCATGCAGTTTTTCTTTGCCTGCCACATTTAACACAGATACAAGAGTTGTTGCTAAAAGGCTCGTCCTGGGGAACTGTTCCCCACGATACATCAGGAAGGCTCACTTGTAAGGAAATTGNACTGTTCCCCACAATACATCAGGAAGGCTCACTTGTAAGGAAATTGGAGCAAGACAGCTGGTGAGGCAAAAAAGAACAAGCAGTGGCAGGTATGGGGATCCAGCTAGTCTAGGGTTTCTAAGGAGTTCTTTGGAAGCAGTTTCTGAGGAGGACATTGCCAGCAGAAGTGCCATTATATAAACACTGCCACCTTCAAATACTTTTCTTTACCGGACTATTCCCTCTGTCCCCTTCCCCTTCTATTTCAGTTATCAGCATGGCTTGTTAAAAACTAGGCTTCATTTGCTATCTTGTGTCTCATTTTTTCTTCAACACACTATAGTTCTGGCTTCTGTTCAAATCACACCATTGAAAGTCTTCTGGCTGAAGGGACCAGCAACTCCCTTTTTAAAAGGTCTTAGTGTAGTCCGGCTGGTGTGGCTCAGCGGTTGAGCACTGACCTATGATCCAGGAGATCACGGTTTGATTCCTGGTCAGGGCACATGCCTGGGTTGCCAGCTCCATCCCCAGTGTGGGGAGTGCAGAAGGCAGCCGATCAATGACTCTCATCATTAATGTTTCTATTTCTTTCTCCTTCTCCCTCCCTCCCTTCCTCCTTTTTTTTTTAAAAAATATATCTTTATTGATTTCAGAGAGAGGGAGAGAGAGAGAGATAGAAACATCACTGATGAGAGAGTCATTGATCGAGCCCACAACCTGGGCATGTGCCCTGACTGGGAATCGAACCCCGATCACCTGGATTCTAGGTCGACACTCAAAGGCTGAGCCACGCCCAGCCGGGCCCTCCCTCCTTTTGAAAACAATAAAGTTATATTTGAGAAAAAAAAAAAGTATAAAAATAAAAGGTCCTAGTGTTCTATTTAAGCTTTTAAAATTTATTTTTATTTAAAAACTCATATGAGTAGTTTAATATTCAAATAGTTCTACCAAGATTACCATGAAAAAGAATAGTCCTCACCCACCACACAGCAGTTTTCTGAGCTGCTACTGAAGGGTGAGATGATCAGAAGTGTGTAGTAGTCAGTTCCCATGGTGGGGAGCCTTGATTAATGGGACACAAAATTCAGGAGGAGCCTGCCAGGCTAATTCCCCCTCCTTTTCCCCTTCTGTGGGCTACTCTCAGGCACGGGTTTTCCTTTCCAGCCTTCCAGAGAAAGTCCAGCCAGCTGAGTGAACACACAGGCCAAACCAGCCCTGTGCCTCAGCTCCAGCTCCATGTGAAGTCTGCCAGTGAGGTGATCCATTGTGTCTAAATGCTTTGCATCTTTCCTTGCTTCCCTTTCCTGCTTTCCTCACCTGCATCTCCCGAGTAAACCACCAGCACTTTAATACTTGCTTCAGGCTCTGATTTCCAGAGGTTTTGTTAATCTGTCAGAGTCATAGTTCTGAGTCATAGCTCTTTCCTGATTTGACATTGAGATGCTACACATATTTACACCTTTTAGGAATTCAGAAATGTCAGTTACATCCACGGTAGCAGTTTTTTAAGAAGTACAGGTTATTTGCCCCACCACGTGTATATGGAGTAAGCTGTTATAGTTGAGAGTTAAGTAGTTGAGAAAGAAGCAACCTGGCCCACAAAGACTAAAGTATTTACTGTCTGGCTCTTTATAGAAAACTTTTCTGACCCCTAGTGTATGTAGGGTCTTATAAGCTATTGTAGGAATGTTGGCTTTGGCTCTCAGAAAAATGAGGAGCCCTGGGAGGGACTGAGCAGAAGGGCAAACAGGATCTGACTTACGTTTTGAAAGGATCGTTATGGTGGCTGTGTTGGCAAATTTTAGAGAGGCCAGGGTGGGAGCAGGTAAGCCAGTTAGGACTGTGGTTCACAAGGTACACTGGAGTGCCCCCTGGACACCACAGCAAACTCACCAGGTGTAGCAGGGTATTTTAAATTTTTGAAGGATTTACAGCAGTACTTGACATCTGTTAGGTACTGAGTCAGCTTCTACCTGGTGGGGAGTCCAAGTATCAACATTAGGTCATGCTATATTCCTTTCAGTGTTGTCATATCTTTGTGAAGCTGGGTTTTTGACAGTAGCTCTAATAAAGAGCAAGCACAATTTGCAAATCAGCGTGGTTCAGGAAATGATGCTTGCAGTATCTGATTTAATTCCAAGATTTGAGATGTTGCACAGTGCCCGACAGTCACACATCAGCAAGTAACTGTGGTTGTTTGAAAGTACAATAAGAATATTTTTCTTTTAATTCATGTGTATTATTTTTTGAATGTCTACTTAGTTGTTGCGTCATTGTATTATTGTACAATGTATTGCTTCATTGGAGCATTTTCCTGAGGTTGCTCTAACAAAAGACCACAACTGGGTGGCTTAGAAAATGCAGAAATACATTTTTTTTATAGTTCTGGAGATGGGAAGTTTGAAATCAGTGTCACTGGGACAAATTAAGGTGTCAGCAGGACTACACCTTCTGGAGGCTCTTGAGGGAGGTTTTGTTCCATGCCTCTTCCAGCCTCTGCTGGCTGCGGGAAGTGCTTGGCTGGTGGCTTTGCCTCCATGGTCACATCACCTTCTCCTCTTCTGTCTGCATCAAATCTCCTTGTGCCTCCATTTGATAGGGACACATGGGTTGCATTTATGGCTCAGCTCACCCTGATAATCCGGGCTAACCTTCCCACCTGAAGACCCTTCATTTAATCACTTATGCAGAGACCCTTTTCCGAAAAAAATAGTAATATTTACAGATTTCAGGGGTTAGCACCTGATCTCTTTGGCTGGCCATTATCCAGCCTACTACAGGCATCAATATTTATTAAATTGTTGGCACCAAACTACTTAATAAATGGGACTATTGTTTTTTATTTTATTTTATTTTTGCCTAGAGGTAAGATACCAAGTGTTGTGTGAATCTACAAGTTTGGGAAATTCTGAGCTAGGAGGCTGTTCCAGTAATCCAGGCAGGAAATGATGGAGACTTGGTCTGGATTGGAAATGGAGGAAAGCGGTCAAAAGTGGACAAATTTTTGATACAATTTGAAGGTAAGGCAGATGGAATTTGCTGATGTTCTGGATGTGTGGTTGGGGGAGAGAGGAGTCCAAGGATTTCAAAGGTTCCTGGACTGAGTAACTAGAAAAATTGTATTACCATGAATGGAGATGAAGGAAACTGTGTATGGACCAGTTTTTTGTAGTGTGTGTGTGTGTGTGTGTGTGTGTGTGTGTGTGTGTGTGTGTGTCTGGGGAGGAGGCAGATGGGAGATGCTGTTTTGTGCATGTTTAGAAAAGAAGACAAAAAGAGAGGAATGAAGAAAGGAAAAGGTACACACATATCTGACCAGCGGCTGTGTACAGACCCTCCACCTGCCCCCAAGCTTGGTCCGCCTCTCAGGGTGGCCAGATGGCGCTCTGCCCCCGAGCTGGTTAGGTCGCTGTGCTTTGTCTCCTTATTCAAAATGGTCGGAGCCAATAGAGACGTGAGGTGCTGTGTTGGACAGGAGACCCACAAAGCCTTGTCTGGCGGGTTAGACAGTGGTGATGGTTGCATGAGTTTGTGAATGTACTAAATGTCACTGAATTTACAGTTTAAAACAGTGAATTTTATAGTATGTAAAGTATATCTCAAAAACCTTTTTATAATGCAAATCACTAATTTACCCATGATGGTGATTCCCATCTCTCTCCTTCCCTATTCCATTCCCTTTCA